CTAATGCATGAAGAAATGTTCCAACATCCTTAGCTACAATAGAAATGCAAGTTAAAACTATAGTAAGGTCCCATCTTATCCCAGTGAGAAGGGCAATCACCAAAAAAATAAAAAATGCTGGTGAGAATTTAGAGAAAAAGGAACCCTCACATCTAGTGTAACCACTACATTACGTTTTGACCATATCATTATTAAACATATATTCAAAGGAGAGAGCTGAGTGCTGGTTGTTTACACTTGTAATCCTAGCTACTCAGGAGACTGAAATCTGAGAATCACAGTTTAAGAAAGTCTATGAGACTGGTTTCCTATAAACTACTGAAGAGCCAGAAGTGAAGCTGTAGCTCAAGTAGTAGAGCACTAGACTTGAACAAAAGAAGCTCAGGGACAGCTCAGATCTTGAGTTCTAGCCCCAGGGCAGACAGAAAAAAACAAAGGAAAGTAATCAATATACAAAAAAATTCAAGAATTTACCTGCAGCCAGGTGCCTGTGGCTCATATCTATTAATATTTAGGAGGCTAAGATCTGAGGGTCATGGTTTGAAGCCAACCCAGGTACACAAATCCAAGATTTACCTCCAATTAACCAGAAAAAAATTAAAACTAGAGGCATGGCAAGAATGAAAAAACCTGAGTGAGAGCATGAGGCCCTGAGTTCAAGCCCCAGTACTGGTGGCCCCAAACAAACACATGTGCACACACACAAATAAGAAATGTCCTCTTTACCTGCTTATGTAACTGTAACCCCTCAGTATATCACCTTCATAATATCAATTAAAAAAAAAAAAGCAAGGTTTCATGTTAGCATTTAGATGTATAGCCAATAAAACACCCAATTGCTTGATAAACTAGCATGTCAGCAACATGGGGAGGGAGGGGGGGCTTGAACTCTGGGCCTGGGCACTGTCCCTCAGCTCTTCAGCTAGCACTCTACCACTTCAGCCACAGCGCCACTTCAGGCTTTTTTCTTTTTGTTTATGTGGTGCTGAGGAATCGAACCTAGGGCCTCATGCATGTAAGGTAAGCGCTCTACCACTGAGCCACCTTCCCAGCCCCTGTTCCTCAGCTCTTCTGCTCAAGGCTAGAGCTCTAACACTTGACACAGCGCCACTTCCGGTTTCCTGGTGGTTTATTGGAGATACGAGTCTCAGGGACTTTACTGCCCAGGCTGGCTTTGAACAGCAATCCTTAGATATCAGCCTCCTGAGTAGCTAGGATTACAGGTGTGAGCCAGCTGCCTCCAGCTCAAAGCAGGCTTTTTGAAAAACTTAGAAAATAGAACCTGTTATAAGTATTGCCTATTTATAGTTATCTAATGCACATTAGAATAATACCTTACAAAAAAACTTGACTCTAATGCCAGCATAAAAGGTGACTATAACTCTTGAAAGCATCATCTCTCATAAATGTCAACATTGCCAGTTTTTGCTATTTTTCCTTAGTCCTGTAATAGATCACTTTGTTTGGACCACTGAAGCAATTTGTCTTGAAGGTCCATAAGGTATGAACTTATTGGTGCCCAAGCTCTGCGATCACATTTACACAGCAAGATGTCCATCCCTGATGGCAGAGGAGCCTGACACAGGTAGAGGCTGCACATCTCACAAGTTGTGTGAGCAAACACTCATTGAGGCATGGCAGTGGAATTTTATTCTTCTCTTTTAGCTTCTGTTCATGTGTTTGCTAAACATGTATAGTTGAATCTATATAAGCTAAGTTCAACTCTTTAGCATCTGAAACTCTATTTTCACACTCTTGTATTTTTTGTTGAAATAGTCACTAACCAAAAAAAAAAAGAAAAGAAAAATATCTGCATATTCATGTCAACTGCAGCACTGTTTACAACAGGTAAACAATGGAATCAGAAAAGGTTTTAAAACAACAAATGAACGGATAAAGAAGATATGGTGTGTGTATTCATACATACATACATACATACATATGTAATGGAAAATTACAGACTTAAAGAAAAATGAAATCATGTCATTTGCAGGAAATGGATGTGTTGGGGAGTATTATGTTGAGTAAGATGAGCTAAGCTCAAAAAGCTAATACTGTATTCTCATTCTTAAATGTTAAAGGTAAAAGATACATATACTCATGGACATAGATCTCTCACACACACAAACATACACACACTTATATACAAACACACACAAAAAATATAATTCTAACTATGGGTCTGTGGGAGACTGAAGAGAAGAAAGAAGTGATAAAGAAAGATGAAGGATAAATAACTTTGAAATATGGTATAAATATATAAATATGAATAAGGAACCTCAATGAGCAATAGTGTTTTGCGAGGGCAGGGGAAGGGAAAACTAATAGAATGGATTATTCTGAACAAAAGGTAATATATGCAAATGTGAAATGTCTGTAAAATTAATATATAAAAGAAAAAATGAATGACAGGAAAATAAAATAGGCTCAGATGGGATAGTAGGTACCAACAGAAGAGAAAAGGACTAAAAAAGAGAATAAACAGGAATGGATATAGTCTATGTAGTTTATTTGCAAGTTTGAAAACCAAACAACTAAACCTAGTAACACTATTTTAAGAGGAGGAAAAGGAGAACAATGGTGGGGTGGGAGCATGGAAGGGTTTGGTCAGGATACACTGACTTCATGTGTGGAAATGTCATGATGAACTCTCTTTGTACAACTTATGCCATATGGTAATAACAAAAAGAAAACAAACATCAAAAAGAATATAAGGTTTCAGGCTAGAAATGTGGATTAGTGGTAGAGGGCTTGCCTAGCACGTGTGAAGCTGGGTTCAATGCCTCAGTAGCACATAAACAGAAAAGGCTGGAAGTAGTGTTATAACTCAAGTAGTAGAGTGCTCGCCTTGAGCAAGCCCTAAGTTCAAGCCCCAGGACTGGCAAAAAAAAAAAAAGAATATGTTTCTTTCCCACATTCCTAACTGCAATTCCAAGTTCTAATCTGCCTTGTCTTTAATGCTTACATTTCTATCAAGTCTATTCAAGGCAACACATTTTTCTATCACTCACCTGAAAATTCTGTGTACATTACACATTTCCAGAGTTATTTCTAGATTTTTAGTTATGTGTGACAAGTAGCACCCTTACTACCTAATATGAAAATCTGTACTTTTCCTCTGACTACTGTAACAAATTATCCCAAACTTGGTAACTTAAAGACATTTATTCTCTCTCAATTTGGAGGCATTCTATCATGACAATTTTTCTTTCTTTTTGTCTGAAGTGCTAGACATTTGAACTCAGGGCCTCATGCTTGCTAGGCAAGCAATCCTACCACTTGAACCAAACATGCAAACCTTGTCAGCAAAGTCTAAAGTCAGGACCACTGGGTCATATATAATTAGGGATCTACTTCTCTTTGGAGGCTCTAGATTCTTTTCTTAACTGCAAAAAGCCTTTCAGTTGTTTTTTGGGAGTTTTTTTGGGGGGAGAAGGTAAGACAAGGTTGTTATATAGACCACTCTGGTCTTGGATTCTCAATCCTATGTTCACCCTGCCAAGTACTGGAATTATAGTACACCTGTACCCTTGGTTATTTCTTTCAGCTTCTAATGGCTAGGCATTATTTGGCTTGTGGCCACATCACTTTACCACTATGGTCACACTGCATTCTCCTTTTCTGTCATCATATTTCCTTCTACCTCTTTTTCATAAAGATACATTTAGGGCCTACCAGATATTCTAAAATAGTCTTAATCATATCTACTGTGGGTTTTTTTTTTGCTATGAAGTAGTACTAATGTAGGTTCCAGAGACTAAGAGATATGCTTTGAGAGGCCATTAAGCAGCTACCACAGATACATATGTGTGTGTGTGTGTGTGTGTATTTTCCAGAGACTAAGAGATATGCTTTGAGAGGCCATTAAGCTACCACAGATACATACGCGTGCGTGTGTGTGTGTGTGTGTGTATGTGTGTGTGTGCGCATGTGTGTTGGTCCTGGAGCTTGAACTCAGAGCATGGGTACTGTTCCTGAGCTTTATTCACTCAAAGCTAGTGTTTTACCATTTGAGCCAAAACTTCACTTCCAGCTTTTCTCTTTTTTTTTTTGGTGGTTAATTAGAGATGGAAGTCTCATGGACTTTCCTACCCCAACTGGCTTTGAACTGTGAGCCTTAAATCTCAGCTTCCTGAGTAGCTAGCATTACAGGTATGAGGCTCCAACACCTGCAGGAACACTTTTTTGTTGTTGGTGGTGGTTGTGGGGCTTGAACTCTGGGCCTGGGCACTGTCCCTCAGCGGTTCAGCTCAAGGCCAGGGCTCTACCACTTGAGCCACAACGTCATTTCCAGCTTTTTCTGTTTATGTGGTGCTGAGGAATCAAACCCAGGGCCTCATGCATGCAAGGCAAGCACTCTACCACTGAGCCACCTTCCAAAGCCCTACTTTTTTTTTTTTAATGTCTCATCATTTGCCTCCTTTAGAAACACTTTTCAAATGGTTTTATAATAATCTTAATTACCAATTTTCAATGTCAAAAATTTTATGGAATTAGAAATGCAGCAAAATAAATCTAAAGTATCTATATAAAATAGCATGAAGATATGTGCCTATCATCCTACCACTTAGGAAGAGAGATAGGAGGAACCAGAGTTTATGGTCAGATTGGGGCTACATAGCAAGATATGGTCTCAGAAAAGACAGAAAAGAAAAATTAAGTGTCAAATTTAGGTATTTCCCTCTATCGTTCTAGGGAAGAATTTCCCTGTCCACTACATTTATTTAAAAAAGCTAGGAAATAAACTTCTCATCATAAAAGTGAAGGTTTTATAGAAAAAGTCCACCTAGGAAATATATATGCTAAAGACCATATTCATTTTAGACAACTTACAGGCTTATACTATTTATACGAGGAGGTAAATATTTCCATAACTAAAAACTGAATATGTGATTTAAAAACTTTTGTATTAGCTTTTCCTTCCTCAAACATTAAAACTTTAAAATGTCTCTTAAACTCAACTGGAAAACAGTTTAAAATAAATGTATTTCTGTTCTTACCTCCACACAATCAAAATTTTCATCAACTTTAGATGCATATTCAACACGGAACATTGTTGACAGGCTACCAGCAATATAGTATAACAAGATCTTGAGACCCTTGTAGCCAAAAGCAGTTTCACTGAAATGAAAAAACAAAAGTCACTAATAAAAAAGTATTACCCGCTAGGCTGTGGTGGCTTATGCCTGTAATCCTAACTACTCAGGAGGCTGAGATCTGAAGATTGTGGTTCAAAGCCAGCCCGAGCAGGAAAGGCCATGAGACTGGCACTGTGGCTCAAGTGGTACAGTGCTAGCCTTGAGCTGAAGAGCTGAAGACAGCTACCAGGCCCAGAATTCAAGCCCCACAACCGGGTGGGGGAATGGGGGTGGGGGGAAAGTATTACCCATATTTACACACTGGGGAGCCTCATAGACAGTTTTAATTTAATTTTGTTTTGTGTGCCAGTCCTGGGGCCTAGACTTGGGACCTGAAGGCTTCTTTGAGCTTTTTTGCTCAAGGCTAGTACTCTACCATTTGAGTCACAGCTCCACTTCCAGCTTTTTGGTAAGTTGTAAGAAATTGCCCTGTGTCAGTGTTTCATGCCTATAATCCTAGCTACTCAAGAGGCTGAGATTTTAGGATTGAGGTTCAAAGCCAGCCCAGGCAGGAAAGTCCCTGAGATTTATCTCCAATTAATAACAACAACAAAAAGCTGGAAATAGAGCTGTGGCTCAAGTGGCAGAGCACAAGCCTTGAGCAAAAAAGATAACTGATAGTAGCCAGGCTGAGTTCAAGATCCACTCCCAACACAGGGGAAAAAGGAAGGGAAATCCAAGTAATAGTATTTGTTGTGCTATCCTAATTTTCTATAATCAGAATTTTTTAAAATAAGAATAAAAAGAAAATACTATTTTAATAATACAATGAAGGTACAGGAAATCAAAGAAAGTGCTGAATACTTAGGTAGGTATCTTTAGAGTTGTTTCTAAAAATATATTTTGAATTATTATTTAATTATAGAATAACAACTAGATTTTTCTAGCTGTAGGTGAGTATATGCTATAATAGAAGTAATTTAATTTGATAAGAAATGTACTCATTATCTTGCCCATGTAATTGTAACCCCTCTATACAGTATTTTCACAATAAAAAAAATAGAAATAATTTTACAAAGAAGTAGAAAAAATAAGACAAAAAGCAAGTATGGACTTTAAAACAAGGTTGTCTGAATTTTAATGCTAACCATTCATATGTCCTCTGGCAATTCCAGCAATGTACAATGTAGTAAATAATCCCACAGCTAACGTGGCTATCAGAATTAAATGAAACAATGTGTTTACTGCTCTAAGATGGTAGGTATTATGTAGACTGCTGTCATCTATCTATCTATCTATTATATTCTAATATATATTTTAAAATATATACATAAAAAGATATACATAAAAATATATTTAAAAATATATACATAAAAAAGAACAGTAAAGAAAATAAAATGAGGGGCTGGGAAGGTGCTCAGTGGTAGAGTGCTTGCTTTGTATGCATGAGGCCCTGGGTTTTATTCCTCAGCACCACTTAAGCAGAAAAAAACAGAAAACCAGAAGTGGGCGCAGTGGCTCAAGTGGTAGAGCACTAGCCTTGAGCTGTACAGCTGAGGGACAGCGCCCAGGCCTAGAGTTCAAGCTCCACAACTGACAAAAAAAAAAAAAAGAAAGAAAGAAAGAAAGTGATTTCCAAATCTTAAAGAAGAATGGAAATTTTTCTTATTGCTAAAATCATTTGTCAAGTATTTTACTAAGTTACTTACTCATCCCCAAAGAGTTGATGGGTATACTCAGGAAAGAAAGTTCTAATGTCATTCTCAAGATCTTCAGGAAAACGAACTGTTTAAAAGAATTAAAAATACAGCAATATGAGATAAGCATTTCTACATTAAGAATTTTACTATAGAATACAGCAAACCTTTTTCCTACTTAAAATATCACTTCTCCATTACATGATTTATACTAGATTCTCATGAGATTAGAAAGCAATGAAAATTATTAACTTTGAAAATTTCAAAACATCAACATCTTATAATTCTAGAATTATAAGTCTAGGAATGATACAAACACTTTTATTTAGTTTTTATTGTTCTGTATGTTTAAATGCAATTCAGAGTAAGAAGAAACATAAAAATCTATGACATCTGGAGGGAATAAAGCTATGAATCATATGAAGTCAGAATGTTAAAAGAAATATTCTGAGAACAGATATATCCTGAATTTGATGAACTCACTATCATTCACTATAATGAAGTAACTAGCATTACTTTCTTCTTTCTTTTTTTGTAGAATTGGGGTTTGAACTCAAGGTCTTGTACTTTGGTAGGCACTCTATCACTTGAGCTATACTCACAATCTTTTTGCTCTAGTCATTTTCCAGCTAGGGTCTCACTAACTTTTTGCCTACATTGCCCTTGAACTGTGATCCTCTCAAAGATCTGCCTTGAATTTCTCTCCCAAATAGCTAGAATTACAGACACGTTCTACTATAACCAACGCACATCATTTTGTTTTTTGACTGCTAGATGTCACTAATGCTGTTGCGTTGCCACCCATTCACAGCTCCACTGGAAACAACATTGTGTGGGGCTAGGGATATAATTCAGTGTAGAGTGCTTGCCTAGTACAAGTAGTCCCTAAGTTCAAACACAACAATGTAAACAAATAAATTTAAAATGCTACAATGATGTCAGGTGCTGGTGGCTCATACCTGTAATCCTAGCTACTCAGAAGGATGTAAAAGCTAGAAGTGAAACTGTAGCTCAAGTGATGGAGCGCTAGCCTTGAGCAAAAAGAGTTCAAGCCCCGTAACTGGCACACACAAAAAGCTACAATGACATCCTTATATACAATTTGCTGTATTTGTATACTTAGTAGTAGAAAAACCAGCTTACTGAATTATTTTTCAAAAAGAATAAGCGAGCTGGGCACTGTTGGCTCACACCTAGCTCATACTCCTAACTACTTAGGAGGCTGAGATCTGAGTACTGTAGTTCAAAGCCAACCTGGGCAGGAAAATCCATGAGACTCTATCTCTAATAAACTACAAAAAAAGAAGAAGAAAAAGGAGGATGACGAGAAGGAAGAAGGAAGAAGGGAGGATGAGGAGGAAGAGGAGGAGGAGGAGGAGGAGGGAAAGAAAGAAAGAAAGAAAGAAAGAAAGAAGAAAGAAAGCCAGAAGGGAACAGTGGCTTAAGTGGTAAAGTGCTAACCTTGAGCAAAAGCAGCTCAGGAACAGTGCCCAGACCTTGAGTTCAAGCACACACACACAAGAGTATATAAGTGTTTTTAAATATTTCCGACAGCAGCTATATCAACAGCTTTGTAACCTAAAGGCCTGTGAATAGTATATTCTCAATTGTGATTTCTACAAATATAAGATAGAGATGGGTATTTTTTGTTACTTTTATTTGTATTTATGAGAACTGATATTACCATTTTCCTGATATAATTTAACTTATGATAAACAAAAACTTTTATCAAAAAAGCTCATAATCATGGCTGGAGCTAATACATAACTCAAATGGTGATTTTCTAACATAATCTTTAAAACATGGTTATGAAAGTTAAGGCAAAACTACAGTTATAAAAGTAAAAAGAAGATTAAAAACTGTTCCAGTCTACTGGAGATGATAAAGGAGATAACCATAAACAACTGCAAACCATGATTTTAATTTAGGGACTGCCAAGAGCTGGAGGGTAAGGTAAATGAAGATTTACTACTTATCTGGTACTATTTTAGAAATAGTAGTGTTGGGGATTGGGAAGGTGGCTCAGTGATAGAGTGCTTGCCTTGCATGCATGAGGCCCTGATTCCTCAGCACCACATAAGCAGAAAAAGCCGGAAGTGGTACTATGGCTCAAGTGGTAGAGCACTAGCCTTGAGCTGAAGAGCTGAGGGACAGTGCCCAGGCCCAGAGTTCAGGCTCAACGACCCACCAAAAAAAAAAAAAAAACAGTAGTGTTGGTAGCACACTATAAAAGCTATTAGCTACCTAATTATAGACTTGAAAACTGATAAAAATGAGCCGTATGCCAGTGGTTCATGCCTGAATCCTAGCTACTCAAGATACTGAGCTCTGAATACCACCATTCTAAGTCAGCCTGGACAGAAAAGTCCCTGAGACTCTTATCTTCAACTAACCAAAATTTTGGAAGTAGAACTGTGGCTCAAGTGGTAGAATGCCAGCCTTGAGCAAAAGAGCTAAGGAACAGTGCCCAAATCATGAGTTCAAGGTTCAGTGCCAGCACATACACACACAAAAAAGTAAAATTAAAAAAAGATTTACTCTTCCTACAATAAACTACTCCACAGCATCCATTCCCTATGCAAAAGGGTACCTATCGGGGCTGGGAAGGTGGCTCAGTGGTAGTGTGCTTGCCTAGCATACATGAGGCCCTGGGTTCAATTCCTCAGTACCACATAAGCAGAAAAAAGCTGGATGTGGTACTGTGGCTCAAGTGGTAGAGCCCAGAGTTCACACCCCATGACCAACCAAAAAAGAAAAAAAAAAAAAAAGGGTACCTGTCAACATATGGAATGTGAAAAATCTGCTACAAGTGAAGCAATAAACCTTAACTGCATTATTGGTATGTGATCAAAAGTTAAATTACTCCATTCTTAGCACTTTACCTGTCACATAAATTTCAATAAATATTTGGTCAAAGAGGGTACAGATAAGGAAGAATGAAGTGTAAGAGAAATATCAAAGACTGGTTTGAGGAAACAAAGGTATCTGCTACTGACTGGAAAAGTTAGAATGGCCAGACATGTAATATTTGTTCATATATATGAATTTAAGGTGCACAAACTGGGTTTTGATATAGGAAAATATATACATACTTGGAAGTTTTTCCTAAAATTTCCCTGCACATCACAAATAAATATAAACAATAAAACCAAGTGTGTTGGCACATGCCTGTGAGCCCATCTACTCAGGAGGCAGAGACAAGAGGATAACAAGTTCCAGGCCAGCATATGGGTTAGTGAGACTTGATTTCAAAAACAAATATATAAATAAACATTACGGGGCATGCCTCAAGTGGTAGAGTGATTATTGTCAGGTGCAAAGCCCTGCACTCAATCCCTAGTAGGGCAAGGAAGAAGATGAAGAGATCACAATTATAATAGCTACAAAATAGATAAAATGCTTAGGAATAAACTTAATAATTATCTATGAATAGTTTATAATTCTATAAATAAACATTAAAGAGGCCTGAAAAGACATTCTTACTACTAAAAACTGTAAGGATTCTGCACAGCTTAAGCTGAAAATATAACAGAATCTCAATTTAAGAAAATAAACAAAAATTCTCTTGGGAACCTAATAAAAAGGTTCATATGGAAAAATAACAGATAAAAGAAAACTCTTAAAATAAAGAGTTGTGGGGCTGGGAAGGTGGCCCAGTGGTAGAGTGCTTACCTGGCATGCATGTAGGACTGGGTTCAATTCCTCAGCACCACATATATAAAAAAAGCCAGAAGTGGTGCTGTGGCTCAAGTGGTAGAGCACTAGCGTTGAGCTGAAGAGTTGAGGGACAGTGCCCAGGCCAAGAGTTCAAGCCACACGACCAACAAATAAATAAATAAATAAGAGTTGCAAGGAATATATGGAAGACCCACTGTGCACTATTGACTTGTACACTTTTTTTTTTTTTTTTGGTCAGTCGTGGGTCTTAAACTCGGGGCCTGGGCACTGTCTCTCAGCTGTTCAGCTCAAGGCGAGTGCTCTACCACTTGAGCTACAGCGCCACTTCTAGTTTTTTGGTGGTTAATTGGAGATAAGAGTCTCATGGACTTTCTCCTGCCCAGGCTGGCTTTGAACCAGGATCCTCAGATCTCAGCCTCCTGAGTAGCTAGGATTATAGGTATGAGCCACCGGCACCAGGCTGACTTGTGTACTTTTAAATGATAAAGATTTAAAAGCTGGGAGCAGAGGTGCCCACCTGTAGTCTCAGCTATTTGGGAGGCTGAGGGAGAAAGATCACACATACACCGGGAGTTTGAGCCTGTTTAAACAGTGAGACCCCCATCTCAAAAAACATCTCAAAAAACAAAATTTAGGGGTTTTTAAACCACAATTTTAAAGTTTCCTTTAAAAAAAAGGAAACATCTTGATCTCATTAATGATTATATAAAATACAAATTAAAATAAGAAAACTTTTTCATTCACGTCAAGAGGGACAGGGGTTTTGTGTTCTGCTTTAAAATATGCAGTACTGACAAGGAAATAGGTAAATACTGGCAAAAGTATGAATATTATTTTGGAAGGCAATTTGACAAAAGGAACTTAAGTACAATATGTTCATTCATTTTCATCTAGCACAATGATTCTCAGAAGGGGGAAACTAAGGTTAGATTCATTATCCCGATGTTTGACAATATCTGGTGATATGTTTAGTAGTTAAAATTGGAGAAGTATTACTGGCATCCAGTGTGTAGAGACTAGGAGGAACATGATGGTAAACCTAATACAATGTATTAGACGGCCCATTAAAAAACAGTCAATAGCCTGGCGCAGGTGGCTCGTACCTATAATCCTAGCTATTCAGGAAGCTGAGATTTGAGGATCTGGTTCAAAGCCAGCATGGGCAGGAAAGTCAGTAAGACTCTTATCTCCAATAAACCACTAAGAAAACCAAAAGTAGCACTATGGCTCAAGTGGTATAGTACTAGCCTTGAGCTGAAGACCTGAGGGACAGCACTCAGGCCCAGAGTTCAAGGCCCACAATCAAAAAAACAAAAACAAAACCAGTCAATAAGCCTGGTGCTGGTGGCTCATGCCTGTAATCCTAGCTACTCAGGAGGCTAAGATCTGAGGATCACAGTTCAAAGCCAGCCCGGGCAGGAATGTCCCTGAGATTCTAATCTCCAATTAACCACCAGAAAACTGGAAGTGAAACTGTGGGTCAAATGGTAGAGAACTTGCCTTGAAATGAAGAGCTCAGGGACAGCACCCAGGCCTAGCATTCAAGCCCACAACCAACCAAAAACAAAACAAAACAGTCAATAGTGGTAAATTGGAGAAATTCACCCTAACATTTCAATTTGTAGTCAGATTAGACATTCACACATATATGTTATAAAATTATTGTTTTAATTTCTGCACCAGTCCTGGGGCTTGAACTCAGGGCTGAGGTGCTAATCCTTAGCTTCTTTTACTCAAGGCCAGCACTCTACCACTTGAGCCTCAGAGCCACTTCCAGCTTATTCTGAGTAGTTTACTAGAGGTAAGAGTTTCACAAACTGTCCAGAATGGCTTCAAATGGGAATCCTCAATCTCAGCCCCCTGAGTAGCTAGGATTACAGGCATGAGCCACCAGCACCCAGCTAAAAAGGCCTTTTTTTTGGTTGGTCATGGGGCTTGAACTTTGGACTTGGGCACTGACCCTCAGCTCTTCAGCTCAAGGCTAGCACTCTACTACTTGTGCCACAGCGCCACTTCCAGCCTTTTCTGTTTATGTGGCGCTGAGGAATCAAACCCAGGGCCTCATCCATGCGAGGCAAGCACTCTACCTTCCCAGCCCTAAAAATGCTTTTTTTTTCCCAGTCCTTGGGCTTGAACTCTGGGCCTGGGTGCTGTCCCTAAGCTTCTGAGCTACTGCTCTACCACTTGAGCCACACTGCTACTTTTGGCATTTTTTAGTAGTTTACTGGAGATGAGAGTCTCACAGAGATTTTTTTTAACACATAATTTGACATGAATCTATATGTAGTCACAGAAAACTGTATTTAAGGTCTTGTTAACCTACCTAAAAAAGCAGCTACACAACAGAATCCTTGTTTTAGAAAGGTTAATATATGGGGGTTGGGAAGGTGGCTCAGTGGTAGAGCGCTTGCCTCACATGTATGGGTTTGATTCCTCAGCACCATATAAGTAGAAAAAGCCAGAAGTGGCACTGTGGCACAAGTGGTAGAGTGCTAGCCTTGAGCTGAAGAGCTGAGGAACAACACCCGGCACCGGTGGCTCACACCTGTAATCCTAGCCACTCAGGAGGCTGAGATCTCAGAATTGCGGTTCAAAGCCAGCCTGGGCAGGAAAGTTGAGACTCATCTCTAATAACCAATCAGAAAACCATGAGTGGTGCTGGGCTCAAGTGGTAGAGCACTCACCTTGAGCTGAAGAGCTGAGGGATAGTACCCAGACCCAGAGTTCAAGCCCCATGACCGACAAAAAAAAAGTTAACATGGGGGCTGGGAAGGTGGCTCAGTGGTAGAGCGCTTGCCTTGCATGCCTGAGGCCCTAGGTTCGATTCCTCAGCACCACATAAGCAAAAAGAAAAAAGCCGGAAGTGGCACTGTGGCTCAAGTGGTAGGGCACTAGCCTTGAGCTGAAGAGCTGAGGGACAGTGCTCAGGCCCAGAGTTCAGGCCCCACAACTGGACCAAAAAAAAAAAAGTTAACATGCACACACAAATCTAGATATTTTAAGTGTAGTTGAGGGTTTAGGAAACTGTTAGCTTCTTCATCAACTTCTTTCTATATGTTACATTTCAAAATTATTTTCAATAAAAATAACATTTATGGATTATTTTTATAGTTGTTTATGTGTATTTAACTTATCTAGTCTTTAAAACCATCATAAAGTGGGCTGGGAATGTGGGCTAGTGGTAGAGTGCTTGCTTAGCATGCATGAAGTCCTGGGTTCAATTCCTCAGTACCACATAAACAGAAAAAACTGGAAGTGGTGCTATACCTCAAGTGGTAGAGTGCTAGCCTTTAGCAAAAAGCTCAGGGACAGTGCCCTGAGTTCAAGCTCTAGAACAAACAACAAAAATCACAAAGTACCATTAACAATATTTTACATTTGAGGAAAAAGAACCATACTAACATAGTATGAACTAAGTTACAGCACAATATATTCTTAGTAATTTTGTCTATAATTGTTCATTCATCCACTCATTTATTTGCTGGTACTTGGGCCTTGAACTCTTGCTCAGTCTCTTCTGCTCATGGCTGGCACCATTTGAGCCCAACCTCAAGACACGCAATGTGTTTTTTGTTTTTTTTGGTCGGTCGTGGGGCCTGAACTCTGGGCCTGGGCACCGTCCCTCAGTTCTTCAGCTCAAGGATAGTGCTCTACCACTTGAGCCACAGCACCACTTCTGGCTTTTTCTGTTTATGTGGTGTTGAGGAATTGAACCCAGGGCCTCATGCATGCAAGACAAGCACTCTACCACTGAAGCCACTTTCCCAGCCTCCCGCAATGTATTTTTTAAACATTTTTATCACATTGAAAAGCAACTTAATGCCTCTTTGCAATTACTCTCCATTCCTACCTCCAGTCCTAGGTAAAATACTAATTTACTGTGTTTTTATAGATTTTCCCTCCTCAGTATTTCATGTAAGTATATTCATGTAAAGGCTTTTTTTGTTAATTTTGTTTTGTACAGGTCCTGGGGCTTGAAATCAGAGCCTGAACACTGTTCCTGGGCTTTAGGCTAAGGCCAGCACTCTTCCACTTGAGCTACAAGTCCACTTCCAGCTTTCTTTGGAGATAAGAGTCTTATGGACATTTCTGCCTGGGCTGGATTCCAACTGCAATCCTCAGATCTCAGCCTCCTGAGTAGCTAAGATTATAGGAATGAGACACCTGTGCCTAGCAGTATGGTGTTTCTATTTGGCTTCTCTCAATTAACATAATGTTCTTTTAGGTTTCTCCATGTAGTCAAACTTCATCCTTTTTATCTTCCGTATTCTACTGTACAGATAGATTACATTTTATTCATTTTTTAGCATATATATATATATATATATATATATATATGTATATATGGGTTGTTTTCATTTTTGGTGAATCTAAATAATGTTACACGGATATAAGTGTAATTTCTCTTCTTTATTTTGGGGGTGGGCCACTGGGATCTGAATTCAAGGATTCTCTCTAACTATGCAGGGCTTGAGTCATATCTCTAGTTCTTAATTTTCTTGTATAGATAGATATCTGGAAATAGAATTGCTGAGTCATAGTTAATTTATTTTTAAATTTTCAACTGCCAAACTGTTTCCTAAATGATCTTACATTATTTTACACCAGCAATGCACAAGTGATTTTTTCCTCTACATCTTCACCAACACATTATCTCTTTCTTTATAGACAAAGAAGAGGCTGAGACACTACATACACCTGACTTTTTGCCACAATGTCTTTCCCATGTTAAACCTTACTGGAGAAAGGAAGAAAACAAGCCAGATTTGATCTTCAATAGGCTAGGACTGTTTATTGTCAGTGAGGAGACCTTCCCATGGGTATGGAGGTTGTATGAGGGGCTGGATTTGGGGTCAGGCTTATATGTACCTTAACAAAGAAGCAGAAAATAAAAAATAAGCTCAAAATGGAATGCTCCACCTGGGTTGGGAGCTAAGGGTGGTATTCTAGACCAGGCCCAGAATAGAATGCTCAGCCTGGGGTGAGGGGGCTTTCAGCCAAGCCAAGATCAGAGTGACATGCCTGCTAATAAGCATGTGAACATGAACCTGGTGTTTTGCTTGACCTAGGGGACTAAGGTGGGAGTCAATCCTTCATATTCCATCTTTAGATACATTAAAAGTTTGGACAGAGAAGGGAAAGGCAAGTCTTTCATATAAGGTCTTTGGATACATAAAAATATTGGGCTGAGAGGAGAGCAACACAGAGTTATAAGAACAAAGCAGATTCCCATCACATACCATCTCATAAATACCTACCTACTCCATAACATAAACCAAGACTGCACAAAATCTGAATGAGCTCAATGTTTCTACATAAAATTCTATGTCAAACTTTAAAAGATTAAATAGAAATATACAACCACATAGATAAATATACACCACAGTCACCTAGAAATTGTATACATACCTAATTTCAGTTCAATTGCTGTGTTGGTGTTACATTTGTATTCTGCCAATTTTTTTTCCACTGCACTCTTATATTCTACCAAAAATTTCTCCATAGCACCAAATCCTAAGAGAAAAGTTTTAAAGTTTGGTTTAAAGTGATTTAATACATAACTAGAAGTAGGATAAAGATAGGATTTAAGATATCAACAAAGGGTGACACTCATCAAGACCCGCTGTATTCATAAACTATAACTACTTAAATTTTAAGAAGTTTGAAAGTACAAGTCATTTTCCATATACTCCTCAATACATAGTACATATGAACATTTCATTACAAAACAAAATAAGTGAAAAATGGTTTTTTGGCAGTAGTAGCATTTTGAACTCAGTTCTTAAAGGCTCTTCTGGTTGGGCCAAATACTTTCAAGTGCCTTTTGGTTTTGTTTGCTTTTCAGAGAGGGGCTCTGACTTTTGTCTTGGCCTCAAACTGCAAGTCTCTTACCTGTATCTCAAAGTCCCACCATACTTGACCCTCAAAAAACATTCTGAAACCTAGATGCTGGTGACACACAGTTATAATTCTAGCCACTCAGGAGTTCAAGATCTGAGAATTTTAGTTTGAAGATAGCAGACCAAACGAATTTAGGACTCTTTATATCTGTGTAACCAGCAAAAAGCCAGAAGCAGAGATCTGGCTAAGTGGTAGAGCACCAAGCCTTTAGCAGAAAAAGCTAAAGGATAGCACACTAGCCCTGAATTCAAGCCCCAGTACTGGTGCTTTTTAAGAACAAATCACAAGCTGGGTGCTGGTGGCTCACGCCTGTAATCCTAGCTACTCAGGAGGCTGAGATTTGAGGATCACAGTTCAAAGCCAGCCCAGGCAGGAAAGTCCACAAAACCCTTATCTCCAATATACCACTTGAAAACCAGAAGTGGTGCTGTGGCTCAAGCGGTAGAGCACTCGCCTTGAGCTGAAGAGCGCAGGGACAGCCCCCAAACCCAGAGTTCAAGCCCCACGACTGACCAAAAAAAAAAAGAACAAATCACTTCTGGGATAGCCATGGTAGCATATGTCTTAGGGGTCTGAGGCAAGGGGATCTGGAGTTGGGGGCCAACCTGGCTTACATAGGTAAGCCTTGTTTCAGAACAAAAAGCCTGGTCATAAGGCACAGGTGGCTTATGCCTCTAATCCTAGCTATTAAGGAGGCTGAGATCTGAGGATCAAGGTTCGGAGCCAGCCCAGGCAGAAAAGTCCAAGATTCTATTTCCAATTAGCTAGCAATAAAGGCAGGCAGGAGGTGTGGCTCAAGCAGTAGAGCACCAGCCATGAGGAAAAAAGCAGAATGAGAGCATGAGACCCTGAGTTCAAGCTCTGTATGGCACAATAACAAAAACAAAACCCTGAGACTAAAGAATTTACTTTAAAAAATACATGTATGGGGGCTGGGAAGGTGGCTCAGTGGTAGCATGCTTGCCTCGCATGCATAAGGCCCTGGGATCAATTCCTCAGCACCACATAAGCAGAAAAAGCCAGAAGTGGCGCTGTGGCTCAAGTGATAGAGCACTAGTCTTGAGCTGAAGAACTGAGGGACAGTGCCCAGGCCCAGAGTTCAGGCCCCACGACCAACAAAAAAAATAGTATGACCTAAGCAACACAATTTGTGTGAAACTGTATATTAACTTAACCTCAAGTCTATAAATAGGTACTGTATCAATTTTTCATTAAAAAAATTTTAGTTGAAAGGACCCAACCACTAAGTAGTGAGGTGGACATTTAAATGTTGATGTCATTTTTGATGAATTTTGATTTTTTAATGTAATTCTTAGAAACATGTACACCTTACACAGTACGTATGCTCCCGCTCACCTTTTACGGTAACACCAGTATCATACAGTCTCTATCTGTAAGAACAATTTTCATGCAGACCTCACTTTATACCTCGTTCAAGCTGCATTACCTATAAAACTGAAATGTTGAACTATCAGTGATACTACTGCTAGGGTACAGGGATTAAAACTGATTACTGCCCATCACTTCAAAAGATAGGTGGGAGGGGACAGGGCATACTTAGAACCACAAAGAGTATCAATTCAAGTACAAAGAAAAAGCAGTTTTAAATTTTAAACATTGTAAACTGATGGGACTGAACTTAAAAACAGACAAAGTAGAACCCAAGCTAACAGTACTTCAGTCATATTCGTTTGAATATGAAAGAAGGGGGCCACGTCTCTCCCCAAGGACAGCTAACTACGATTTTGGAATATTAAAGTGGAAGGGATAAGGAGGTGATTACAAAGTGGGTCAAGATGGAAGTGAATGCGCCAGCTCAAAGTTGGTTGTGGAGGAGACCTGCAAGAGGAGGATTTGAGTATGAAAATCAGCTGGCGGGAACACAACCAGATGTGGCAGCGCTAAAACACTCCTGCAAAAGGAACCGGAAAACTAGCAGGCCCCCAGACGTGTGGCACTGAAATGAAGTCCAAAACGCTTTTCCCCACGTCTCGGGTCCTCGGCCCGGGCCAGGTTGTCCGCAGACGGCGCAAAAGCCCTGAGCGGTGGGGGCGGGGGCGCGGAGCGCGGCCGACCAGACGCTAGGCTCGGAGTTCTGAGCTTCCCGACCAAAGCCGCCCTTCTGGAACTCAGGCTAGGGACCGAAAGTTCCAAGCGGGTACTGTCACAGCCGTTCCAGCGTTCTTTTCCAGACCTGCCCGCTTTCTCTCCTTGGTAAACTTTTTCCCGGGAACTTACCCGCCATTTCCGAGCTGCGAGCGACCGCGGCTGAGGAAGGGCGAATCAACCCGCGCGCTCCCGGGCCGGAAATTACCTCACTATCTGACGTATTTTCCCCCGCCTTCCTCCAGGGGGATGTTGACCAATGAAAGGGAGAGTATTGGGGCTCGCGGTAGCGGAAGTGCCTCAAGAGGCGGGGCTAACAGTGAAGAGTGCTCCGAGGGTTGCCTAGCCACCACTGGGGCTGGCTGTTGGCTGGTTGCTTTCCTGAAGTGGAGGATCCCGGAGGAGGGACAGGGACCCTACATGTTGAGGTGCTCACTGATCTCGGGGAGTTTCTTTGGTCTTGACGTGACTGAGCAAACTCCTTAAGGCTATTTTCGTATCTCCTCTTCAGAGATGTCCTGGAGACTGAAAACTTTCCCTTTGGCCTGAGCTATAGATACAAATGACCTAATCCTGCCTAGGTAAAAATGTGGGCATTTTAATTTGAGGAGAAAATTTCACTTTACTTTCCTTATTTGATCCTTCTTTTGCCGTTAAATACTTTTAACCTCGGCTTATCGGTGGATTTTTCTTTGGTCTATTGGCTGGGTTTTTCGTTTTGCGTTTTGGGTTGGTTGGGTAGTCTGGGCGCTAGAGCCATGCATGTCTAAGCAACATTGTGACTGAGATGTACGTCCAGTCATCACATTGGGTGATCTAGAAATACTCTGCTTTCTGTGCTTCAGGTTATTAGGCAACTATTTAACTCACCAAAATGGTTACCAAAAACACCTCCGAGTGGCCTGATTTAGTTTTGCATGTTTGAAGTTATGGTTTGAACTCCATCCTAGTAAGATGTTACCTGATTTTGGTCATATGCCTTGGTATCATTTATTTCTACCAAAGGATAAGCTATGGGCTAGGAATGTGGCTTAGTGGTTGAGTACTTGCCTAGCATGCATGAAGCCCTTGGTTCGATTCCTCAGCACCACATAAACAGAAAAGGCTGGAAGTGGTATTGTGGCTAGGCTTAAGAAGCAGCTCACTAAGCTGGGCACCGGTGGCTCAGGCCTATAATTCTAGTCACTCAGGAGGCTGAGATCTGAGGATGGTGGTTCAAAGCCTGCCCAGGCAGTAAAGTCCATGAGACTCTTGTCTCCAATAAACCACCAGAAAACCAGAAGTGGCACTGTGACTCAACTGGTAGAGCTAGCCTTGAGCTGAATTGCTGAGGAATAGTGCCCTGGCCCAGAGTTCAAGCCCCACGACGGACACACACAAATATTTCTAAGATGAGGACTGGTGGTTCACACCTGTAAAACTAGCTACTCAGGAGGCTGAGATCTGAGGATCCTGGTTCAAAGCCAGCCTGGGCAAGAAAGTGCATGAAAGCACTGACATTTTTTTTTTCTTTTTCAGTCATGGGGCTTAAACTCTGGGCTTAGGCACTGTCTTCAGCTCAAGGCTAGCGCTCTACCACTTGAATCAAAGCGCCATTTCTAGTTTTTTCTGCTTATGTGGTGCTGAGGAATCAAACCCAGGGCATGCAAGGCAAGCACTCTACCGCTGAGCCACCTTCCCAGCCCCAGCACTGACTTTTAACTAGAGGCTAAATATATCTGCTAGGACTGGGAAGGTGGCTTAGTGGTAGATTGCTTGTACCACTGGGCACAGTACCACATAAATAGAAAAAGCCGGAAGTGGCACTGTGGCTCAAATGGTAGAGTTCTAGCCTTGAACAAAAGAAGCTCAGGGACAATGTCCAGGCCCTGAGTTCCAGCCACAGGAATGGCAAAAAAAATTATATATGGGTGTGTGTGTGTGACTAAAAGTTTATATCATCTACGTGTCTTCATATTGTTTCTTTTTTCTTTCTTTTCTTTTTCTGGGTAGGTCTTGGGGCTTGAATTCAGGGCCTGGGCATGTCCTTGAGCTTTTTTGTTCAAGACCAGCACTCTACCACTTTGAGCCACAGCGTTCTCTGATGGTTAATTGGCAATAAGAGTCCTATGGCTTTCCTGCCTGGGGCTGGCTTCGAACTTTAATGCTCAGATCTGTTTCCTGAATAGCTAGGATTACAGGTGTGAGCCACCAGTGCCCAGCTCTCATACTATTTCCTTACTGCCCCAACCTTTAGTTCAGACTCTACTGAACTCTGAATGTAGACAAACAGTTGAGAGTCATTTTATTCAAGACTTTATTTACTCTGGTACGGAGCCTTGAACTCAAGGTCTTGTACTCTCTTTTAGTTTTTATCTGCTTAAGACTGGCGCTCTACCACTTGAGCCACATCTCTATTTCTAGACTTTTGTTATTAGTTAAAAATAAGAGTCTGACAGACTTTTCTTTCTTGGCTGGTTTGAACCTTGATCCTCAGATTCTAGCTTTCTGAGTAGCTAAGATTACAGACAGATGTGAGCTACCAATGCTAGCTATCCAAAATGTTCCTAGATGGTTAACTTGGCCTGTTGCTTTTTGGAGCAAATGTGCATTTCTTCTTTCCCTAACTGCTTCCATCTCAGAGCACTGAGAGTTCTTTAGCCCTATCAAAAGGCCAAGATGCTGGGCACAGGTGGTTCATACCTGTAACCCTAGCTACTCAGGAAGCTGAAATCTGAGGATCACAGTTCAAGGCCAGCCTGGGCAGACAAGTCCCTGTGAGACACCTTTTTTTTTTTTTTTTTTTGGTTCGGTCCTGGGGCTTGAACTCTGGGCTTTTGGGCACTGTCCTTGCACTCTTCAGCTCAAGGCGAGTGTTCTACCGCTTGAGCCACAGCACCACTTCTGGTTTTCTAGTGGTTTATTGGAGATAAGAGTCTCATGGACTTTCCTGCCCAGGCTGGCTTTGAACTGTGATCCTTAGATCTCAGCCTCCTGAGTAGCTAGGATTACAGGTGTGAGCCACCAGTGCCTGGCTTCCTGTGAGACTCAAGTGGCTCAAGTGGTAGATCATTACCCTGAGTGTAAAGAGGCTCAAGTTCAGCACCCAGATTCTGAGTTCAAGCCCCACAACCAACAAAAAAACACAGGCCAAGATATTTATGCAATGTGATAACACCAGCTGTAAGTTACCTGTTTTAGAGCTAGAGTTTACCCTACTGTTAACTACCAAGAACAAAAAAAGATATCATGACCAACAACAACAACAAAAAATGCTTGTACACAGAAAGGAAAACATCTTTGAAAACTCTAATTATAACCAATGGACAATTATCAGACTTTAGCTCACTCCTGTCTCTCAAATAAAAATCAGTAAAATCTGCTTCTTTCCTTTTCTCAGCAAGCAGCAACCTTATTCCTTTATAGATCTGCTATCTCCCTTCACCTTGAGCTCATGTCCCAATAAAGGAGTCATGCCACTGGATACCAGTGGGTCATACGTGTAATCCTAGCTACTTGGGAGGCTTAGATCATGAAGACTGCAATTTGAGACAAGGCAAAAAATATACACAAAATCCCTTTTTTTCTTTTTTCTTTTTTTTGTGAGCCATGGGCCTGAACTCTGGGCCTGGGCGCTGTCCCTCAGCTCTTCAGCTTAAGGCTAGAGCTCTACCACTTGAGCCACAGCGCCACTTCCAGCTTTTTCTGCTTATGTGGTACTGAGGAATCAAACCCAGGGCCTCATGCATGCAAGGCAAGTACTCTACCACTGGGCTACCTTCCCAGCCACAAAATCCCTTCTTAATCAATAGCTGGACATAGTGACATTTTCTTGTCATCAGAGCTACTGAGATTGCAAAGTTTGCCCTTCCAAGCCATATGAGGCAGAAAAATCTCCATGAGACTCTTATCTCCAATTAACTACTCAGAAACTGGAAGTGACACTGTGGCTCAAAATGGTAGAGTAGTAGCCATGAGCAAAAAGAGCTCAGGGACAGTGCCAAGGCCCTGAGTTCTTCAAGCTCCATGACTGACAAAAGGAAAAAAAAATGATGCAACTAAAGCTGCTAGCAAAATAGGAACAAAACTAACCCAGGACTACTAAAGATAGTAAAGAATAAGGCAGAAATCAATGAAATAGAGATTTTTAAGTCTATACATAAAATCAATGAGAGTTGGTTCTTTGGCGGGGAGGAAGCAATAAAATTGACAGGTCACTGGCTATATTGATGAAGAAGAGACTCTGATCAACAAAATCAGAGATGCCAAAGAACAAACATCCAAGAGATCAAAAAGATTATGAAGGACTACTTTCAAAACCTATACTCAAATAAGATGGAAAATCTAGTAGAAATGGATAAATTACTAAGGCATACAAACTGCTTAATGTGAACGAAGAATATATAAACTACTTAAACAAGCCCATAATGTGCAATGAGATTGAGAAAGTAATCAGCAGTCTTCCAACAAGGAAAAGCCCAAGTCCTTTTGGATTTATGACTGAATCCTATGAGACTTTTAGGGAGTTCTCTTGCTTTTTTGTTAAAGTCTAGCTTCCTGCCACTTGAGCCATACCTCCACTTCCAGCTTTTTGCTGGCTAATTGGAGATATGACCCTTTCAGATTTGTCTGGGCTTTGAACCTCAATCATAAGATCTCAACCTCTTGAGTAGCTAGGATTACAGGCATGAGCCATCAGTGAGGCCTGGCATCTTTTAGGTTTATCTGCTTCCCTTCTTGCCTGATTCTTAAGGACATTCCCTAAGCGAAGGAAACTATTTACTATAGTATTGGGTTGTATTCTCATTTATCTAATTTGATGTATAAATATTAATGCAAATTTTAAAAATGCAGCTTGCTTAGTTATGTGTGGTAACCCATGCCTGCTTACCAGCACTCAAGAAGCAGAGGCAGGAGAATTTTGAGTTTGAGGCCAGTCTGAACTACATAGCAAGATCTTATCAAAAAATAACAAAGCAATCTGGGCAGAGGTTGAGTAAACCAGGTATGGGTGGGTCATGCCTGTAAACCTAGCTCCTCAGTAGGTTGAGATCAGAGAATAGTAATCTGAAGCAAACCTGGGCGGAAAAGTCTGTGAGACTCCTATCTCCAAAATATTATCCAAAACAAAACAAAAAATCCCAGAAGTGGAATTGTGGGTCAAGTGGTAGAATGCTAGCTTGAGCAAAAGAAGCTCAGGCCCTGAGTT